CAGGAAGTAAGGGAATTATACTAGGGAAACCTTCCCATTTTTAGGAGGCTTTCAGTGGAAAAGCTTTTAAAAGCCTGCCTTTAGTTATTACTAATCTGTAGTGCTAGTGGGAAATGCAGAATCTGGTAAGACAAACCAATGTATGCAAGTCTCCAGTTGATTCTTTTTTATGTATTTATACGAAAAGATTCAGAAGACCAAATTAACCAAGCTCAGTTGGTTTCTTTATTCTGACAATACAATTATTAAATCAGTCAACATCATTGACACATGTTGACCCCCCCATTGCCCTCTTCCTCCCCCCCCAGCCCAAGTCTGTTAGAATGGCTACAGCATTTCATAGAGCAAGGTTGGTACACCTTCCTAAGTCCCCAATATTTATAGCACCTTTGTTTTAAAAAAATTAACCAGTAAGATTTTTCGGGCATCATCATGGACAACATGGAGAGGAACCAGAGGAGGGCCATCTGCATGATCAGGGGTCAGAAGGGCAGGCCCTACAATGAGAGGCTAAGGGACCTGAACCTGTTCAACCTCCACGGGGGGGAGGGCGGGGAAGAAGAGTCCCTGTTCCCCCAAGCACTACCAGGAGTGACAAGAAATAACGGTTTGGGCACTGTAGCAACCTCGTGCCCCAGCCAGCCCCAGTCATGTGTGCTTTGGTGCACGTAACTGCTCCACTGTAGGACAGTACTGTCCTATAAACAGAGTTAATTAATTTATAACGCCTTAATACAGGCACATGTGTAGACGGTGATGCTTTACCGTGCAGCTAATTAGTCAGCTCTGTACTACAGCTCATGTGTAGGTGCACCTAGTAACATGTACACATTTCATTTTGCTCCCTGTTTTTGGGGGGAAGAGGGGTTCTGTAGAAAGCCATGAAATTGGAAAACTTTGAAATCCTTCATCATTTACTTTTGTGACTTGGTTGAACCAGCACAGTCACTTGCCAAAAAGAAACGTCAGGGTGAAGACACAGATAGGTTTTGTTATAAAGTAAAGGCTTGTCTAATGGTTATGGCAAGGGCTGATCAGGGGAGTGCAGAATTTTCTACCCGACAGGCTACATTGTGCTTATGCAGACTGATATGGCAACCTCACGATTCCAGCTGATCAGACCAAGTCACAGAAATAAAACTGACAGCTAAAGAAACAACATGTAACATTACTGAATTCATAGCATATTATTGCAGAAACTTCATAGACATTAAGGCTGGAAGGGACCTTGTGAAATCATCAGGTACCGTCCCCTGCCCAAGGGGCAGGAAGTCACCTGGGGTCAGATCACCCCAGCAACATAAGCATCCAAGTGTTGTAGGGACTTTTTGTGTACACCTTAAATGTACCATATTTACTCAAATCCAATACAACTTCAAACTTAAAATGACCCTTCCCTCCAATAACTTCGAAGCTATACATGGATAATTATAAATACGTTACAATTTTTCATGTACAGAATCTAATTAGTGGACAGTCTGTTGTCATGGGGAAAAGCAGTGGCAGGGGGCAAGGGCCCTTGTCCTGCCTCAAGCTTGTTCCTGCCCCTCCCTGGTGCATGCCCCCTGTGCTTGTCTCCCCGCTCCCTGCCCCCTGTGCCTGTGCCTGCATCCTGCTCCTTGCCCCCTATGCCTGTCCCTCCATTCCTTCCCCACACCCCCAGTTCCTCCCTGAATTCTGCCCTCACCCCCTTCCCCCTATGCCTATGCTTGCACTCTGCCTCCATGCCACCACTTACCTTTTGCTGCAGTTCTGCCCCAGAGCCAGAGCAGTCAGCAACAACAATGTCCCCAGCCTGGCCTGTCCATGGACAAGTGACAGCAGCTCTCAGCCAGGACAGATGAGGGCTGGAGGGACCAGAGCTGGGGAGGAATGTAAAGAGGGAGGCACCTTCAAGGGAGGCCATACTGCATCATCTACCCTGTGCTCTCCCTGAGCCTTACAGGTGGGTTTCCCTCATTCCACCTCTCCCTCCCGCCCCGTGTTCTCTCCCCACATGCCCCTGGCTGCAAGCCCCCTCCCCCGCCTAACGATCCATCCCAACCCCGGGGCAGAATTGGCTTCAGTCCTGAGCTGAGGCCAAAGCCAGAGCTGACCCACCACCTGCCCCGGGTGGGTACTCAAATCTAAGACGAAGCTTTTTTTCTGTATGCTGACTGGGGGAGGAGGAAAACCTCATTTTGGATTGGAGTAAACACAGTATGTACATTACCTCCTCCAACATTTTGCTATGACTTCCTTGCAAATATATCAACTTTTAGATTGAACTCTTAAATACAAAATATTGCATGTATTTGCTTTACAAATTATTGAAGCTAGCATATTGCATATGATGTCACCTGGACTTTTGGGTTAAATCAATGCAAATGATTGGGGGGGCTCAGAGATCACAGGAAGAAATGTAAGTGATTTGTAGCGTCTCACAGGCACAAAATGAAGCAGAATCTGTACTAAAGACTACCCTCTGCACTGAAACCAAGATACACAGGGACAGATAGTAGCTGGCTCTGCATGAGATGAGAGAAGAGGATGAAAAGACTTTCAGTCCCAGAACTCATTCATCCATTGCACCTCTGCAATAGATCACTATAATGTGTCCTTGGGCACTTCACAGGTGAGGGTCAAGCTCCAGTTAGCCTGGGCACCCACCCTGTTGTAGCAGACTGGTGCCTCAGGCCCTAGCACCCACATACACATTAACTGTTGCACCTCCAGTAGAGAACTGAAAGAAACACGGTAATGCACCCACCAGTTTTTCATAGGACAGTACAGATTAGTATGTGGTCCTCATTACTTAGATATAAAAATATTCTAAGGGAAGAGAGTTTGGCTTCTTTTAACAGAGTTGATTTATTAACCAAGCTGGTCATATTCCTGATTTATTAATTTTGGCATCAGTGACAATGTGGAAACAGCCAGTACATGTATGTTATACTGAGCACTTGAAGCATGCAAGTTGAGGGACAAAATGTCTAAGTCTGTATTGTTTTGATTTTTCTTTCTTCTTATCAGGCTGACTTTGACAGTGCTGCAGAAGAGGTAAAAAAATTAAAAACAAGACCAAGTGATGAAGAACTGAAGGAGCTATATGGACTCTACAAACAGTCTACTGTTGGAGACATTAATATTGGTATTTTTCTCTGTGCATATTCAGTTTAGCATATTTAATTCTGTAACTTTAAAGCTATTCAACAATCTTTAGGTGAGATTGCATAGTGACAACAAGTTTATTTATCTGTTTCTTTTGGCAGAGTGTCCAGGAGTGCTAGACTTAAAAGGCAAAGCCAAATGGGAAGCATGGAACCTTAAAAAAGGTGGTGTTATAGTATTTAAGTTTCTACTATTTTCATTGCTTTTATAGAATACCAAATAAGGAGATGTAATGACTGCTACTTTCCATTGCAGGTTTATCAAAGGAAGATGCCATGAATGCCTACATCTCTAAAGCAAAAGAGATGATAGAAAAATATGGGATCTAGAATATTCCAGATAATTTCCAGAAAAAAAAACAAAAACAAAAACCAATAACTCCTCAGAAGCTAATGAACTAACTATTTTGAGGAAAAAATGCAATAATGTTTTCACATTTAGTTTGACACCATGATTTACTAAGCATGAATTATTTAACTGTAAGAAGTGATTGACATATGTATGGAACTTCTCAGATACCGAGTATGCTTATTTTGAATAAAGTTACCAATTAGATTGGTTTAGAGATTTCACCTGTCATATATATATATATTTTTTAGGGGGCAGAAGTATTACATCCAGTTTCCTACTCTTTGAGCGAATTCTGAAGATAGCATTTTTAACCGTCATTCCCCCCCACCCCGAGAGGTTATGGGATAAAGTGGGATTCTAATAACAACAACACAAATAAAATAAAGCAAGCATTTTTCAATGCCCTGTATAGTAGTAACTAATGAGGTCTCAAAGAGGATAGATTTAAAGAAAATATGACCTAAGAAATTAGTTCAATATACTGTAGCTTGACTAGCACAAGTAATTCTGCTTCTATTTCAGTCATGGAGATAGATATAAGAAAGCTATATTAGTTGGCATAAGAATGCTACATTTTAACTGGAAGTGAGACCCAAATGATTGCTTGGGCCAGGTTCCTAAGTTAGAGGGAAGCTAGGAAACTACTGATGCTGAAGAAACCATCTTTGGGTTGCTTTTTGCCTGCTAGCTTCTTACCATCCTCAAATCCTGGTCTGCTTGTCGCACAGAAAATCCAAGTGGCTTGTGGACTGCCTGCTTTTAAGAATTAGAAAGTTTCCTTCCTTCTCTTTTTCTAACAATTGCCTTAAATGAAATCCTGGAAAAATCTTTTGCCATATATAATACAATATTAATAAACTTAGCCATTAAACTACAGCAAGTTTCTTATCTTGTCATCTCAATTGTGCAATTACATAGGAAAGGTTCCTTATTATTTATTCCCTTGGACCAAGCTTATACCCTCCCCACAAAAAAATAAAGGTGAATATTCAGAAATCAGCATTTTCTATGCATTTTGTTATATAATCTATTATGAAAGTTTCATTAGAAGGTTCCAGCAGAAAAAAGTGGCCTCCAGGAAGTTCGTGAATAGTGGTCTCGCCACTTGTTACATCCTTCCATTCTGAAAAAGAATCAAATATTTAAAGAATGTAAGAAATGTCAGGTAATATTAGTTTTACATAACCTATTTAAAGGTTAATTGAATCATTCTTCCACAAAAATTATTTTGGATCATACACTGAAAGTGCATATTTCCATTTCATTTACAAGATGGTAGACAGTTGCTCACCAGTTAATATATTACAATAGATGAACAGATAAACAGAAGATGTAAAGCAGGCAAATTAGTTACCTTCTAAATCATGTGTCAAATCTTCAGACCCATCAAAGCATGTTAGGTCACAAGAGAGAACATTTTTTGGTTCTGCACAACTGTGAATATCAAAACAGATTTTTTTTAAAGTCTTTTACATGGACACCTATGACTAAGCCCTGCCCCTTTCCAACAAGTTTTTTGGTTCTTCATCTTATGTTCTGAGTTTGGTAGGTACTTGCTGCCTTTTTTTCCCATGGATTGTAGCCACAATGAAGGAGCCTTGTATGGGACGCACATATAATGGAACCTGGATCATTCATATCTGGATTGTTTGTAGGGCTGTGTGAAACTTCGACAGTTGTTTTGTTTGGAGGTGTTTTGGCCCATTTCAGCGCCCAAAACACCGAATCTGAAATGAAACGGAAGGCTCCGAAACGAAATGAAACGAAACCATCCCAAATGTTTCGGAGGCGGGCTTGCAGGGAAACAAACTCAGGGGGCTGGGGGGGGGAGGGGAGAGGAGGAAAGGACTGCTCTGATTGACATCTGTAGCTGACCAGTGTCTGCAATCTGCCCCTGAGGTCCCTTCCAATCCCAGGGCTCTGAGGGAGGGACGGAAGCCTACTGTTATCCCGCGTGCAGATCCAGGGGCCCGTGCCCCCTCGGGAGGAGTCTGGCACAGCCCCACAGCCCTCCTTGGGGGCACAGGCCCCTGGATCTGCACATGGGATAACAGCAGGCTGCCGCCGCCCA